TTGATCTCTCAATGAATTTTATCAGATATTGTGGTGATATTGAAAAAAGATGAAGTGGTGTCTTCAGTGTGGACTTGTCACCACTTGGCTGCACTGAGTAGCAGAGTTCAGATCTGAGATGGGAACAGAAACCATGGCTGAGTGGTGTTATTTACCTTGACAAGTTTCAGTTCAACGGTAACGTAGTTCACACCTGGTGCACCTCTTCATCTTACCACTTCACTGTGACTGCTGCCACGTCTGCCATACCTCCTGAAACTCCTCCCCTGAGGTTCTACCCCTCAGCAGGGACCGCGTGGACCTGCTCATGTCCTTACATGAGGGTCGGCCTGAGAGCCCTGCAGCTTCAGTCTCATTAACTGTGTCCCCTGCACAAGAGCAGAAACAGCACAGTGCAGGTACAGCATCGTTTATTTAGACTTGATATATTTTTAGATGAATATCACCTGATTAACATGTTTAAATAAACTCACTCACTGCTGCCACTGTTGAAGTAGACCTTGTCCTGGGAGAGCTGCTAACTAATGCTGGCACGAAGTGAACAAACACTTTCTACTGGTACTTTGGACGAGTTCTATAAATTAAGTTTACACTGGTACATGACAGGAAATAGTCATATACCTGCATGTTAAGTCTGATACTGGCAGAGGCCGGCACCTTCTCCCGCCTACACTGATTTTATGCTGGCAGCCATATGAATGTATTTGCTCATGTACCAGAATTAAAGTGAACTCAGGGCTTGTTAGCCTTTGGATATTCCTCCTGGTTATTGCTTCCTGTGGATGTTACTCCTGTTTCCTGTGGATGTTACTCCTGAGGTCTGTACTATGAAGCAGGATCTGAGGTTATCGAGGTAACTTCAGGTTTAACTCTGGGTTTTCAGTCCTATGACGGTGGTTCACTTCTTACCGGGGTAAATCCCCATGGTAACTGATTCTGAACTCCTAACCTGCTCCGGAGCAGGTTAACTTCAGAGGATCAGATCAAAACCTGTCAACAGCCAAACTACTGACCAATCAAATCACTGGAAAAACTCAGTCATCATTCCTACAGGATCCTGACAGGGACAAAAGAGTTTACAATAAAGTGATCAGTAATAAAGATCAGTACATATTTGTATAGATCAGTGGATGTGTTGCTGTTTGAGTCTTTCCATGTGTCACTCTGGTTTTAAAACAGAGCCTGTAACAAACAGAGGAGAGTTTATCACTAAATAACTACATAATAACTATTGTAGCTTCATTTGACCTGAACACAGACTCTTTAATGGACAGGATTCCTGACAGTGATGAAGCTTTTACTCTCTTCTTCATCACTGCAGCTCAGAACAACATGAGGAGAAATCAAAACCAAACCAACAATGATCCACACACTGTTCACTGTTTCCATGGTTATAAATGAACATTTCAGTCGGACTGACTCTTTTCTTTCTCTCCTCTCTGCAGCAGAAACAGTCTGACATGAACTTTAACTGTTTGATCTGCTTCACATGTTCATAACAGTTTGTTCATCATCAGACAAAAGAGGGAAAAACTCACACGCAATGATAATTCATGTTCTTATTTACATTTTTTTAATACTTTATACATGGTTCTGATGATGTTGCTTATAATTAACAACTCTGCCTCTTTCACATAAACCAGCTCGTACCTGGACAGGTGAACTCTTAACTGAGCCAGTTGATAACCAGCTTCGTAGTACAGGTTATCCACGATGGTCCATGTTAGGTTCAGTTAACTCAGATAACCTTGAGTTATCTTGGATATGTTGAACTTGCTTCATAGTACAGGCCTCTGGTTCTGGTTTCTGTGGATGTCACTCCTGGTTCCTGCTGCCTGTGGACTACATTTAGATTGATCTACTTTATCATTTCTGGTATGTTACTGTTACGACCCCAGTGGTGTTGTCTGGTGCTCTCTGTCCCTCCAGGTATTGCTCCTCCTCCAAATGGGGGAGGTGGGCTGGATGCAGCTGCATCCACTTGCTAATTAGTGGGAGATGTCCTAGTGGAGAGTGGGAGCTGAGTTGAGGCCAGTGGCCCAGTGTGTGACAGTGATATCGCTGTGTGTCTTACTCCTTGCAGTGAAGGAGGGTGCTTGTTGTCCTGATTACCTGTGTCTCCTTTTGTTCCTTGATTCCTTAAGTGCTGTAAATATCCTGGTTGTTTATTGTTTCTCAGTTATTTGCAACCAGAGCTTATAGTGGCCTTTTTCAGTGATTTAGCTGTGTTTGAGTTTAATAATAAAAGTCATTGGTTTTTCCCTCACACATTGTTCTACTTCCTGATCTTTCATTTTTACATTTGTTACTTCCCCTCATCCCGTGGTCCCATCGGGGAACATAGGTTATATTTTTATTTCTTCTACTGTCATGATACAACATACATTCAAGTTGGTAGAGTTTTGTTTATTTACCATAAAAGCATCAACACAATTATCTTAGTTAAATAAAAACACTTTTTGATTTCATAAGTTCTCAGCTCTGTGTCGCCTGCAGCTTCATGTTCTGGGAAGATTATGATTCATTCCGTTTTACTTTCACTCGATACCAGCACATCATGTTAGTGTGCCCCTCAGTCTGTGGCCTGAAAGGTGCGAAACACCCCTCGATAGATTTAGAGGTCCAGACCCGGGTACCTCGAGGGGAAAACCACTTCAACATCCTGGTTCACCAGGATCCTCCAGGAAGAGCAACAAAGAGCTGAGTCATGTTGTCAGATCCAGGCTCACCTCTGTTTCTGTACAGTAAGTCAATACAATATCTAAATCAGCCTCTTTCAGTCTTACTGTTATGTTGTGAGCACAGAAAAAAACTACAGCTCACATGAAACTGAAATATTTATATCACTGTAACGTGGTTTCTTCACACGTCTGTAATGACTACTGTCCTATTCTGAACACATGACGTGAGCCACAGAATGTAGTGAAGAGTCCGCAACACTACAAAACTGGATTTGTAGTTATCAGTGTATGTGTATACACGCACACACAGAGAAGTTCGTTTCACTTTCGCTCTCTATTCACGAGTGAAGAAACTGCTCTAAAGTTAGTCTTTCACATTTTTGTCCAACATGTGATTCACCTTGTGTAGTTTGTACTCATTTGTTGAAAAGCTGAGTTGGTGCCTTACTGCGGTCTAGTGTGTGAACTCATCCTGAGCAGCAGCAGTGTAAGACTCTCCACTGTTTACCATCATTCAGGCAGAGGAACTGACCCAGTCTGACTGTAACAGTACACGAGAAATGTTTAACATATTCTGAAGCAACAGTTGCAATTATAGTTTGTATACATGCACAAAAATACAAATGTACTAGTCAGATATTTTACACACAATAGAATGGACATTCAGGAGAGTGGGGCATCTGGAAAAACTAAATATTCTTTATGGAACATGTCCCAAAAGCCTGCAAGTGAAGAATTATATCTGTTTTGGATCATCAGAATCGCAGCTCTTAAGCAAAAAACTGGAACCTCTCAGGCTGAACAACAAACAGTAGAAGATATATAATATAATTATAAATTTACAAAATCAATAACGAAAAAGAAGCTAGAAAAAAGACAGGCCCTCTTCAAATTAAGCAAATGTAGTTGACTAATTATACTCGATACAGATGTCAATGAAACATCAGATGGATCGTGCTTGAGAAGATGATTTAAGTAGTATAAATGAAACTGTAGTAGCAGGTCTACTTCTAAAATAAAATATCAAATCCTTTTATTGATTACAAACAGTTTTTCTTTTTGTATATGTATATAGGTGTGTGTATACATATACATATATACCCTGCTCAAAAAAAATGAAGGGAACACTTAATCATCACTGTATAACACCAAGTCAGTTAAACTTCAGGGATATCAATGTGTCCATTTAGGAAGCACAAGTGATTGTGAATCAGTTTCAGCTGCTTTGGTGCAAATGAAAGTGACACCAGGTGCAATGGAGGCAAAAGCAGGACAACCCCTAAAAAAGGAATGGTTCTACATGTGGTGGCCACTGACAGTTACTCTCTCCTGATCCTTCCTGACTGATTCTTCTCTAGGTTTGTGTTTTGTTGGTGTCCTTGTCACTACAGCATGAGGCGGTACCTGCAGGTCAATCAGGTTGCAAGAAGGTTTGCTGCGTCTCTCTCACAGTCTCAAGAGCATGGAGGAGATACCAGGAGACCGGCGGTTGAACGAGGAGAGCTGGACAGGGCTGTAGAAGGGCATCAACCCAGCAGCAGGACCAGTACCTGCTCCTTTGAGTGAGGGGAAACAGGAGGAGCACTGCCAGAGCCCTACAACATGACCTCCAGCAGGATGCTGGTGTACATGTTTCTGACCAAACTGTCAGAAACAGACTCCATGAGGGTGGCATGAGGACCCCACATCCTCTAGTGGGACCTGTGCTCACAGCCCAGCACCCTGCAGCTTGATTGGCATTCACCAGAGAACACCAGAGCTTGCAGGTCCACCATTGGCGCCCTGTTCTCTTCTCAGATGAGAGCAGGTTCACACTGAGCACGTGACAGGTGTGAAAGAGTCTGGAGATGCCGTGGTGAACATTATGCTGCCTGTAACATCATCCAGCATGACTGGCTGGCGGTGGGTCAGTGATGGTCTGGGGAGACATATCCTTGGAGGGCCTGACAGACCTCCCTGTCACAGCCAGCAGTACCCTGACTGCTGTTAACGGGATGAAATCCTCAGAGTGATGGTCAGACCTGACGCTGGTGCAGTGGCCCTGGGTTCCTCCTGGTGCAGGACAACGCCTCATGTGGCCAGAGTGTGGCCAGAGTGTGTGGGCAGGAGATCCCTGCAGGACACCATCTCCCGACTCATCAGGAGCATGCCCAGATGTTGTCAGAGTGTATACAGGCACACGGGGACCGTACACACTACTGAGTCACATTATGAGTGTTGTGTTGTTAAAGCCATGTGTGCAACATGAAAAGATCAATCAGCTGTGGAGAGAGATCAGACACAATGGTGCAGGTGTTTGTAATGACTTGTGCCTGGGAGTCTGAGTTATGTAAGGTTTTTATTGGTATTTTTGGAGAAGACCATAGGTTTTACAACAGATTTAATAATAATTCAGAGCTCTAAAGAAAGAGGGAGAGAGCCAGAGTATCATTCTACCATTGACTGTTGCCATCAGCTGCTTATATTGTCAACAGGCAAACTCCTAATCACCATAGGAAAACAAAAAGAAAACAAGAAAAAAAACATTTTGATTTTTTAAGTAAATAACATCCAGGGTTGCATCATTCAGTTATTTGAGAAAGAAAAAGGGAGAACAGTTCTCAGGTTTACATGTTTTAACATTTGCTTGGTAAAAGGAGGGAGTGAAATAATTAAGGAGTGAAGAGGGAAAGATGCTGAGATGTTTCCACTGGGGGAGAAACGGAGGGTCAGCTGACTATCTTCTTAACTTCAGTTTCCAGAGAAACCTTACAAAAAGTCAACACTGAAAGGAGGACAGACGGAGGGAAGGATGGATGGGGCAGGGGCGTGTGTGTGCGTATCTGTGTGTGTGAGTGCGTGTGTGCATGTGTGAGTGTATGTGTAGGGTGGGGTAGGGGGCTACAGCCTCCACATCCAAAAAACCTTTTTCTTTCGGAGTGGAGAGTTTTATTATATATACATATGAATATATAGATAACACAGCTGACAAAGGCGTGTAAATCTATACATTTCCATTACATAGATAGTTATTATGGAAGGAGAGACACAGACTTTCTGTTTGTCGCTTGTCCAGGAAGAGAGAGACTTGTTGGCCCTGGTCACCAACGCTTTCTGCAGCTCGGCTCTGGGCAGAGAGCTCTCAGAAACCTACAGACACACAGAGACACAGCAGCAGTGTTAGCTCAGTGGGAACACACGCACACACACACACAGTGAACAACCTCAGGAGTAGGTTAGAGGTCTGACAGCAGCAGGTCAGAACTGAAGACCAGCACAGAACAGGGAGGAAGGTCAGGAACAGGCTCCTGAAAAGGTGAGAACATCATGACACAGGCAGTTATGTTCCGCAGTCCAGTGTCATAAAACACATTCAAATATGTCCTACAGTAGTTTAGCTAAGAGTTTAAGACAACATGTCAGGACTTTTTCTTGTTGGTACTTCATTTATCCCAGTGCTTTTTACAGAGAGCCACATGCTCTGATAGATGACTGCACCAGACTTTAACAGAACATTATGAGGGAGGCCCTGACATGAAGGCAGCTGAACCTGTGCTGTCTGCACTCCTCACTCAGCTCCTCATCATAGAGAACAGTCTCATCCACACTGCACAGAGACGTCACCACACACACACTGCTCCTGTCGTTCAGCGTTTGCATTCATGAGCCACATGGAGTTATGTATACAGCACCTTTCCCACAGAATCAAACTGTATTTGTGGCGGTGTGGTGTCATAGCAACGTCACTGTTAAGTCCTGTTTGACAGAGAAAATAAAATTCAACTGTGTTGTTTCAGTTTCTGAGGGAAGACAAAGCTGTTGCTGTGACTCATGCAGGCTGCTTCAGTAGTTATATTATAGTCTGATTTTACCCTGTCTGAATGATCTGTGTCTTTGTACAAACTATGTTTCATTTGTAAAAAGATCTCTCTTGAAAAAAGAGTATAAGAGAAGTATTTAAGCTTCAATAAAAGAATAAAGCATCCGTTATGTCTGATCAGTGACTGACCTGCTGAAGCCTCGACTGAACACCACCAGTGACAGAGCAACCTGTTACACCAGTGCAGCGAAGTGCTGCACAAACCCATGACTTACAATTACGGTGGCCCTGAGGCACCAAACAGCAAGATTTGACAAAACAACAAAACCAAGAGAAAAGATTTCACTGAACAGGAGGAGGTGGAGAAACAATTCTTGTTTGTGATTGGACATAATTTCATCAAGATCGGCAAGCAATACTTTATGGAGGTGAACATCTCTAGCTACACTGTCTGACCATGGTGCACTGTGGGACGTTTCTTTCTTTCCTCTGATTTATTCACAACAACTGAGCACAGCCACTGACTCTAAGTTTACACTGTGGCATAAGCTGGAGGAGGAGGAGCCACCTGGGACACTGAAGAATATATGTCACCTCCATCAAAGGAAGACTGGCTGAAGATGTCAGAGGGACAACTGACTTACATCACGACATTGTAACACAGGCACCAGCTTCATTTGGATATAATTATAAAAAAGGTCCTTTTTCTCTGTTACTGGCAATGATAGGTGGTGATTACATGTCTGTGGGTGCGTCAGAGGAAAGGCGTGGCCTTCAACACTCCTCCTGTGGCCGAACCCTAGACCAAACCTTTCTGATGAGAAGCAGACGTTCAGCTCCAGTCGGTCTCCAGCTCGTCTGTTGGTGAAACTACTCAACCGCAGACAGTTGGTGAACTCGTCTGTGTTGTCTGCAGAGTGAAACTCTGAATCTCTGCTGGTTCGTTGTCATGTTTTCAAACATTTAAATTCATCCAAAATTAATATATTTATCTATTTAATTTCTGTTTTTTTTCACCATTTAGTTTTATTTCTTTCAATATGTATTTAAGTTAAATACCACTTTTCTCTCTGGTCCATGTGTGTGAGAATCATGATAATTACTTGTATTTATATATTACGTCTGTATGTTATAATAACATGTCATTGACACTCTGAGCCTCATTTCAGTTGGATTTATGTTAATTTAACTGCCACACAGACTGAGGTCATCATACAACTGCACCCTGGATATAAACATACACAAATATGGTGGACACTTTCTTTTCACTATATTTCACCATGTTGAGAAAAACCTCCCGTTGTCCTGGGGGCCAATGAAAACAGGATGTAAATTAATTCTGGGACATGAGATATTTTATTTATCTTGCAGGTCATTTTGAATGATTTTAATAATAAAAACAAAGACTTTAAATTCAGGGCGGTCCACATTCACTTCAGGACAATTCTGGGAGGATGAAGGTGAAGATAATTAAGAGCCCTGGTTGTTGATTGACGATTAAAACTTAACGGGACCATCTCCTGTCTTTACTGCGGTAAAGCTGCAGTGGACAGCTGGAAGGTTTGCATTGAGAGCTGTAGCTGTAGCTGCCCTTGCTCTCCTTGTTGCCATTGGCAACATGTCTGCCTCTGTGAAGACAATAGAGCCAGTGCCCACTCTGTGAAAACACACAGTGTGTGTGTGTTTTAGTGGGAAACAACTGAAAACATAACTTGTTTGAGAAAAACTCCAAAGAGCACCTGTTTGAGTTTTCTCAAACAAGTTATGTTTCTGTGTTTTAGTTTTATTATTTTTCTGTTTGGCTGTTTACCTGAGCTTTAGAAACTACGAAACTCTGTTGGAGGTGTTTTGCAGGTCCTTAATGCTCCACATAAGGCACATTAACAGAAAGGATATGTGGTAGTTGACAGATCCACTGGTTAAAGAGTGACTCGTCTGACCATGTGACCGGACCCACAGCTTCATCGGTTCTACTAGAGATGGGCACACTATGTAGTGCTACTGAGGTCCTCAAAAATTCATGTCATTAATGAGCAACCTGAAAATCAAAGTAGGTGAGAAACAGCAGCTGTGGAAGAAACTAAATCTTTTATTTAGTTCTTCATGTCATGTTAGTCTGTGTAATTCATGGAGCCATCTAATGAAAAAGAACAGGGAGTTGTGTCAGTGTTTCTGTGGTTGCTCTAACAGAGTTAACTCAGCCCGTGTCTTGGGTCAAGTGCTGGTAACACACATTAAGATTTTTATGTATCTCTATTTATCTGAAAATATCCCGATTTATATCCCGTCAGACAAGTTCACCTGTGATTATGCTGATGTAACTGACAGCAGCTAATTCATACTTTTCTAAATAAAAATCACAGCAGTGTTATTTGGAGCCTGTGAGGTGCATCTTGAAGGACCTGGCCTTAGTCCACATTTCACTTTTACTGTCAAATTCTGATGTGGCAAATCTACACTAACCACAGCTCCTCACACATGGTCACATGACCTACTGACATAATTAGAGACAAAATTAGATATGATTAGTTTCCCTCTTTTTTCTTCCCCTTTATTATTTTTAATTTAACTCATATTTTACCAACATTTGCTTTATACATTTAGAAATGTTGATTTTTTTTAATAAAACAGCTGTTAGACTTAGCAACACTCCAGTTGTTGTATGAGACAGTGATATGTGGGTAGAGACTGAGAATCCTACTCATGTTAAACTGAACACAGTGTGAAGAGATGAAGATACCTGGTTGCATCAGCAGGATATTGCTGTTTGTCATTCATTCATGTTACATGGCCTCTTCAAAACTTGTTTCACTTCTAGTTGCCTCGTCTATTTATCTGTGAGAATTTGTGTTTGAAATCTTTCTGAGCCAATTACACAGCAGCTCTTTGCCCTCAGTATTTTCCATCTTACTGTTTTCCAACTTCTGCATAAGTTGACATCACATGATTTTATTCCAGCCCCAAGGGACCAATATTCCTCAGACTGTTGTTCCTAATGAGCCGCACCTGGTCTCCGTCAGCTCGACACCAGGTGTAGGTCATTAATGTCGGAGTCAAACAGCACGAGAAACAAGTGTTAAGTAAGAAGGGAAAACAAACATTATCTAGTTTGTAGAGGGAATGTTAATAGAGGCTGCAGAAGAGTCAGAGGAGTGATGAGAGCGAGTTGAGACAGTGTCACAGTGGAGAGAGCCTGTTGTCCAGCCCCAACAAAGGAACAGAATAGCATGGCAGCAAAGTTAGTAGTCAAATTCCCCAAGGACGTCTTTGCTTCTGCAAGACAGACCAATTGTATCTAATTCTTTTCTTTTGAATTTCTGTTCTTTTAGGGTGCCTCCTCAAACTTATAATGCTGTTTGGCTTCATCATTCCAACAGGAATCATACGATTTTATTTTTTCTTTTCATTTCCAATTTAGTGTTTTTGTTCCTTTAATAAAAAAGGACCACTGGGGTGTAGGTTAGGGAATAAAACAATATCTAATAGTCCTAAATACAATACTGAATGAATATATGAGCAATTGGTGTCTGTAAAAAACGTCGCTTGGCTGTTTGCTACTAACCTTTCATGTTAGGCTTGGGTTTGTCAGTTTGCTTGCCTGTGGGGGTTTGTGCCTGCTGGCCCTGGCCCCCGGAGGAGGCCCCCTGCTGGGCTGCTTTCTGTTTCAGCATGGTCCAGTCAAATGTGTAGTCATACTGGTGGTTCAGAGTCCTGAAACACACAGAAACAGGTTATCAGTATATTCCTAACAATCGGCAGGTTATAGAAGGACAGTAGGAGGATAGAAAAGAAGGAATGAAAACAACAGCAGACAGAAAGAAGTAAGAGCTAGAGACAGAAGGAAGCAAAGTAGAAATCATAGTAGGAGGAAAATAAACTTATATAGTACAAATTACTTCATGCAGCTTGATTTGTTCATGTTTTTATAGTCAAAGAACAGAAGTGAACAAAAAGAAAAACAGTGACAAAAAAGAGAAATTAGTGCTTTCAGGAGTAGTGTTTACCAACTCTAATAAAAGGCTGTAAAAAGTAATGAAACAAGAGTACATGTCAGAACCTACTGGAAGCATATCAGCAGCTAACAGATAACAGCTGTTCATCAACATAAACTTCTCTACAGTCTAGCCGTTTGTCAAACTTGTGGATTTCACATTAATTAGCTGAAATCCTTAGCCACAGCAGCGGCTAGCAAGTGAGGACCGAAGCTAATAACTGATCCACTGTGAAAATTCGTCCTCAGATTCAGTCCAGTACAGAAGGAAGACCTGAATCAACACTGTGTGTTTACCTGAAGAGGATGCGGAACAGTTGGCGCAGGTACATGTAGTCTGGAGCCTCCTCAAAGCGCAAGCCGCGGCAGTAGTTCAGATACATGGCAAACTCTGCTGGGAAACCCTGAAACATGCATTCATACCACTGAGTCGAGTGGATGTGTAGTAAGACGAGCTGCACCACTGGTCCAGTTTAATGTGCTCTTACCTTACAAAGGACCTCAACAGGGGTGGACATCTTTTTCTCTGAGATCTTCTCATATTTCTGCTTCTTCGTGGCAGCCTTCAAACACACAGAACCATTACCAAAGCTGCTGGTAACACACCAACACAACACTCAAACATCTTTACAGACTCTCTGATATTGACGCTGGTCATTAATGCTTATATACTGCTTATTAAGCATACATAAACAGTTCAAGAGTAGAGATGGGCAAAGACCATTCAGTCAGTTTTGCTTTCATACCTTTAGTCCCTGCCACGGCAGACTGGTTCTGTTGAAGTACATCAGCACGTAGCCTAGTGACTCCATGTCATCACGGCGACTGGAGACGACAACAATGTTATTTGTTGAGTACAGAAACTGAGCATCATATCTTCTGACACATCAAAGAATAACGCAGAGTAGATATTTCATTTGTTACTGTCATGGAAACTAGAAAAAACAGAGCAACATTTCAATTCCTGGCTTGATTTCTAGAAACATTGTTGATTCAAAGTCGCCTTTGAGAACAGATATGAAATGTGTGCACGGACCTCTGTTCAATGCCCAGGTGTGCATTGATGGAGGCATAACGTGCTGTGCCAGTCAGGTTCTTGTCTTCTCTGTAGGGGATGTGCTGTCGTGTTCGGTTGTCTCGGTACTTCTTCGCCAAACCAAAGTCAATAAGGAACAACTGATGGAGAGGGAGACAACACATGGAGGTTATCTGTCAGTGACATCCCAGAGAACAGGGACAACAATCCACAGTTCATCAGAAATGAATGAATGAACTAAAACTTGTCTTCACCTCAAACTGAAAATGTGATGAATCAAAAACAGGTATGCAGTGATTGAGCCAATCCTTGTGACAACAGTAACGTGTAGAGGAGAAAAGGTGTCATGGCAACAGCTACGTCCCTAAAACATGAAGTCAGCCCTCAGAGCTTGAGTGTAGCAGCAGTTCTGACACCTTGATAATGCTAACCCACCCCATGTGACTATGACAGCTGCAGGTGTTAACTTAATTCATGTACAATATGATGCACTGTTCTAATCATTGAAGCAGAGAGGAATACAAACTCAAGTTATCATCACTCCATTAGAACACATCATCTTTAGTCTTTAGGCGGTAAGACTACACTGAGTCAAAGGCCTTTATTAAATGGCTGAAAAAACTAGAGGCTACAAAAGATGGAGCACAGTGAACACTATGCTGTATGGCTGACTGAGTGGCTCACTGTCCAGTTAGGCAGCTGCTTTCCTGAAGCTGTGCTGTTTGTTAGACCCTCTGATACTACTGCCACTTCGTCACACAGATTTTGGAAAGGCTGTGTATGTGGAGAACTGGGGCCAGTTTCACAAAGATATTTCAGACTGGTCTGAAGTGTTGGGCCAGTCCTAATGTTGCTCATAGATCAGTCTGATGTTTGTCAGACTGTTTCACAAAAATAAAAACGGAGTAATTTTAAGCCAAAAACATTAGACACCTTGCCCAAGGTCAACTCAGGCCTAAGATCAATGTTACCATGGTAATCAGTGACACCTGCGCTGACCCAACAGGAAAACATGGCTCATATATGTGGTTTGCTAACATTGTTAAGGAGAGAGCAATGAGATGGGAATGTTTTAGAGACCAAGCTTTTTCTTTTATTGTTTCACTCTCACTGAATTTCCAAAGTAAAACATCCTTGTAACTGTTGAATTCTTCCAAAAGACAAACATTTTCTGCTGGATGCAGTTTCCTCAGTGGCCATTTTTTATGTTGGAAAAAAAAAAAAAAAAAAAAAAAAAAATATATATATATAATATATAATATAATATATATATATATTATATATATATATATATATATATATATATAGTACCACAGTCCGGCTTAAGATAGTCAAGACCTAAAGTGCTTTGTGCAACAGATGAATTTAGACTCAGGCATCTGAAGTCTGACTGATTGTTATATTTAAGACACAGTCAGAGTCTGTCTTTGTGAAACCGTCCCCTGAACTGCTGACTTTTTATCAATCAAACTGAATGATGTGATTGTTAATGAATCACAAGTTTAAGCACAGCAAACATCCAAGGTACACTCAGTGGTCATGCACAAGATGAACACAAAGAGACACACTAAACCCAGCCCAACCTCATCATGCCTGTGTGCTAACTGCTATTCTAAACAACAGTCAACCAGGATTTACCCCCCACCCCTTCAAAAAAAGGACCAAGAGTGGACTCTGAAGCCCCTATTCCACTGGTCAAAAAACCTGCTAAGACCCGCCAACATCAGGCGTTTGTTGTCAATAGAAAAGGGTTTAATCGGCATTCACACCCAGGTCAAATGACTGCAGTAGACATGGGTATTTATCGGCTTTAGCTCCGAACGGCTCTGATTGGTATTGGTGTAAACACAACACTCAGATGAGTCCGATAATTTTTGCCCCTTTTCCTGCTGTAACGCTGCGGAGCACAGACACTGTACACAGACCTGTCACCTGCCCAGGCGCTGTTAAACCAGAAACACTACACAGGGATGAAAGAGTGAGCGCAGCTTCAAAGTAAGTTTTTAAAACACAATCACTGTTCGAAGCGTCTCACATAGAGGCTCTGACACTTTTTGATGAGTTCCAACATGAGGATGAAATGTGACAGATCTGTTTTACGAGTTTGCACAGCAGCTAGCAGCTCACTCTCTCTCCCCTGCTTGTGTGTGTGCTCTGTAAGTGCATGTGATGACTCCTTGCAGTCCGCCTGAACAGAAAGGCAAACTCAACTGGCAGTGGAAAAGGGGTCAATTGGATTTTATTAGCAGGTTTACCCGCGCTTAGAAAACCCGTTTATACCAACTAATTTTGGTGGAAAAAGGGTATGAGACTACAAATGTTATCCTGCCTCAGCTGCATACAAGACTAGCCATGTTGGCCCATGATCCACAGCCAGTCACTGTTTGCCAGAGCAGTCGCTGTGAAAAGCAGTGTGTTACTGGGTAAGGCCAGAGAACACACCTCTGCAGCGAGTCTGTTTAATCTCATTTTAAGATTAATATCACACACCACACTCCAGGTTTACAGACTGCTGTTGTTAAAAACACAGCAACAACAGGTACATGTAGTGATGTGAAGGTATAATCTCCCAAATATCTGACACACAAGTGTCCTGATGTATTTTAATAGTGTGTGCCATGTTGTTTGCGACACATGTCCACATTACGCTCTTCATACAAAACATGGCACGAGAGCTTCTATTGCCAATACTTTAGAGAACAGGATAAATATTGAGGCAGCGTCCTACACTGAAGCAGAAAGCTGTGAGATCCAACTTCCAGACAACAGCTGACTCAAGACCTTGACAGGAAGTGTCAATGGGAACACAACCAGGAGTCAATGAGAAGGTACAAAGTCCCTTCTCCCCAAACTCTATGCACTACTACTAAAAAGTGGTTTACCACGAGGCTCACATTATACTGCCACATCCTATGTCCACACACTGGAACATGCTATGACCATGACGATCTGGAGGAGCAGCTTACACAGATTCAGACAAACTACAGGTCAACGTCTCCCCAGTTCACCTGAGACACATCATAACACTGACTAATCCACCATCTTTTTCAACCGTCTAATTACTAGTTACTCACAAAGTAGGCTGTTTTAGGGGCCTATTTACCTATCTTCATTTTAAATGTACTATTAGAGTTTGTTGAAGCCCTGGATGGAGCTAAGCTTTCCAGTTTGTGTAAATCCGGCTTCAGGCTAAGATGTATATACAGTGCTGACAGTGGGTCCATTCATCAACTCATCATGCACCACACCAGTAAAATTTTAAATACAACAAAAACAAATTTAAAAAAAGAGAAAATCCAGTTAATACTTCTAAATACAGATTGAAACACATAGAACTGAATCAAAAATGGCCTGATCTACCTGAAGCAGCAGAAGCAGCAGCAGCAAATGTGAGAGGCTAATTCCTCCTGCTAAAGCATGTGGTGTTTACATTGGCCTGAGAACAGTCTGAGGAACCTTCAGGAGGAGAACGCTGTGGTTAGGTTTGTCACGCAACTTTCAAGAAACTTTAAAAGCATAGGGCGTGGGGGCTGTGGTGCGGACTGCTCACCAGCTGCCTAATGAAAGCCCTGTGGGGCTACTGCTACAGGGAAGTGAGTGACACCAACAGAAAATTGGACTGCACATCAAGTAAAGACATTAAAGTTTTGAAAGGGAATTAGGTTCTTAACATTCTGGCAGTCATCAGACACCACTGTTAAATCACATCTATCTAAAACACTGCTGTTCTTATGTGCAGCTTTCAGTTCCACTGGCACTTTGTGAAAGGAGTCATGCAAATACAGATATATAGTTAAACTTTTACATGTTTTATAAAATGATGTGAATAATATCAGTATCATTAGTTGTCTAAAGTTTTTCAATAAGATTTTCTGTTCATCCTTTTATTCATCCACATGGTTTCTAATTAAACATCAGTTCTGGGTGCCACATTTCTAAATCTGTTACCTAATAATACAAGGATTGGATTATATTAACAGAGACCAGGCTTAATATGAATTAGTTTAGAATGAATCAGGACAAACGTCACATTAAAGAGACAGGAACTGGTATTTAATTCAGGAAAAGAAGCCATTTGATTGGAGGGACAGGGACCCCTTTTTACAGCAAATGGGGACAATAACTACTCCCTTGGCAAGGCTAATGGAAAGTTTGGTTTCCTCTTCCACTATAATGAAGTGCAGACTGGGTGGAGGAGTACATACTTTGGGTATTATGAGTGCAAGATGGGTGCTGGTGGTCTGATTCACTTTAAACCAGTGTAGTTAGGTATGATTGCAAAGCGACAACTGCTGTTGTGAGGCAGCTGGTGTTGTGGTAAAAGTTCACACCTGGTTTAATCCTGAGAAAGATGGGTCCTGAGAAGAGCTAACAGCCAAGCTTCTTTTCCTCTTCCCCACTGACGAGTCTAAACACTAGGGCAGACAGTAGAGGGGCAGGGGTCAAAATCACACAGCCTCTATCCACCTTCAGTCACAGTTAGCATGAGTACAACAGGCACTTCTGGTTGCACCCACATGGTTTGCTCCCTTTGATACAACTAACAGTGTCCTGTACAGCTGGGATATGACCTCCTCCTGTACATCCAAGACTGGACCTACACAGGCGAAGAAATCCACTTTAAATCTTTGTGGTACAGATGTGATCATTCTGGCCATCAGTCCAGAAGAAACCACGTGGCTGTGATTTGCTTCTGTCAGGACGACCGTGGAAAGATCAACCCTGTACAACAAGAGGCCAAAAGTGTCTCTTGTTGAAGCTTCAATATCATGTCCGACAGAGACAATAAAGGCCAGTGCAGACAGGCAACACCATGGCTCAGAAAAGACCTTTGGGACGGGAAGGGGGTGGGGGGTGGGGGTCAGCAGATAGTAAGGAGTCCATGGTTGTCCTTTCGCCACCAGCAAAACAACGAATGCATATCAAATATCTGCTGACTAAGAAGGCTTTAAGAGTCCTCTGAGGGGTGATGTATTATTTTAATCAAGTTGTTCACAGGCCACCATCAACATAGGGAGAGTTCCTGTCTCTTGTTTACATGAGAAACTTTGATAGTATGCAACCAAACAGCAAATAATGGGTTAAGTCTATACAGTAGAATAGGGTTAGTATTGGGAGAAAAGTTGATGATAATCCTGTTGTAAACTGTCTAATCATCTGTATCACACCGAGATGAGCTCTGATGTTCTGAGCCTTACCAAATGTTTACTAACTATAATATTGTGATGGTTTATTACAGAGCTCATTAGTATTTTAGAAACCAACAAATTAAAATAGTACACACACATGTAAATTACTTCTACACTTACTTGGCTACATCATAAGCTACACAAACAGCAGCAGTCCCAGCTTCAGGACTAAGAAAGTTTATACTCGGCAAATGTCTTTTCTAAAACATGTAGGTCCTGGCACTGTTCTCAGTGCTGATCCCAGAACTACGTTTACTAAGTTATCTTGTTAACTCTGCAAAGCTTCCACAAATCTGAGACATGGACTCATTAACCCGTTTTTAAAACGAGCACAGGAGAGCCCCACATCATACTGAGCCCTAGCCTAACCTGATGACATCACTGTATGTGTACAAGTTATGGTTAAAACCAACAGCAGAGGGAGAATGTGAGATAACTTGTTGACCAACAACAGTGTTTCTCACACATATATTTTATATCAAAGGTTGCCAGAGTATATTTGGCGACCATTTATGCATTTTTTTTTTTAATCCGTCCGAGAGAACGACGCCAACCGTGATTGATTAATCTCCCCTCACTCTACCCCTCCTGTTCGTTCTGCTATCACAAGAAAGGTCTACTGACAATCGCACATGCTCTACAGAGAAACACACAGAGAGACAGAGAAAAAAAAAAGAGAGAGAGAGAGAGAGAGAGAGAGAGAGAGAGAGAGAGAGAGAGAAAGGTTAGAAGACGCAGATATTTTACAAGCATGGTCCCTACACACTCTCACTCAGAGATGGAGTGTAACTAAATAAAGAGGGTCTCTTTATTTAGGGGAACAGCAAGCTTTGGGACGCCCTCACTTTTCTTTGATGGAATCAGGAAATTCATTTTACCCAAAATATTGTGATTAAATCAATATTTCTGTAAAGAATAATCTTATACACAGCATTAACAAAGATGTAGGTCTGTGGGCAATGACATGGGCCTCATCACTTTGATGGCACAGTGAGCTTGTGAAAGGAAAATTAACTGAATAAATAAAAATTCACTCACGTGCCTCTTTGGCCGCATTTCTTTTGGCTGAACATGTTTTCGTTTGCTGTCTTAATCTAATTATATCATTTTTTCCACAGTTTATTTTTCAAATATCAAGTAAAAAACAAAAAAAAAAAAAAAAAAAAAACACGGCCCATTTTTCGGGTACACAGCGGCATGTTCATTCCAAAATACATGTAACCTCTAATTTCATCATGTGTGCATGAGAATAGTCTATTGAATGTCTGTCTGAGGCAATTGTTTGAATGAAACACTTTATATGTTACCGCTGTGCACTGTTTTTGTTCTTGTCTAAGATAGAGGATAACAGAAAATGAAATTTGACAAAAAATTAACATCTGAAGTATTTAAGCATTGAAGAACGCATTGTATTTCTGGTAATTTGGTCTCCGGCTCTTTTGTCTGTTAAAAATATGGCCTTTTTAAAAAAATGTTTTTCAATCAGCAGACAAAGATTCTATGTGTTAAGTTAAACGTACGAGTGCAGCATGGCTTTGAGTCCGGGATGGATGAAATGCCATATACCTACTAAGGACAAGGATTAA